GAGAGAGAGAGAGAGAGAGAGAGAGAGAGAGAGAGAGAGAGAGAGAGAGAGAGAGAGAGAGAGAGAGAGAGAGAGAGAGAGAGAGAGAGCAGTAGATAGGTCGCGTGAGCAGGTCACGTATGGTAGGCACGTCCGCCAGTGCAGGTAGGTCGTGCAAGGCAGGGACGTCTGCAGTGCAGGTCGGTCGCGTAGGGTAGGCCATGTAGGGTAGGTCGCGCAGTCGGGCAGGCACGTCCGCCAGTGCAGGTAGGTCATGCAAGGCCGGGATGTCTGCAGTGTAGGTTGGTCGCGTAGGGTAGGCCGTGTACGGTAGGCCGTGTAGGGTAGGTCGTGCAAGGCAGGCTCATCCGATTGTGCACGTAGGTGGCCTAGTGCAGGTACGTCCAATAGAGCAGGCAGGCAGCGTAGGTGGGCCGGCCTGACTTATTTTTTCCTTTTTTTCATTTTTTTGCCCCTGACATTCACGGCCGCAGAAAGCGTCTAAATCCATGCACACTGCTCTAAACCGGAAAGAGACCCCGCACCCTAAGTAAAAAGAACAAATGAACCTACCCCCAAAACAGACCCAAGCACATCGATCAAAGCACAGACCTTTCTTTTTCTGAAGCTTCAACAGCACGGATCTCCTGACTCGGGAAACGGTATCGCTCCACTACACAACACCGCAAATACACCCGGCCCCATATCTGGACCAAACGCATTGGGCCACTCGCCTCTTTGTTTTCCCCCCAAACACAATTCCGCGCCGCGACATGCCCGTCAGATTTCACATTGGACGTCTCTCAATCTTTCATCTGAGGGCTGGCCGTGATCACGGCAAATCATCACGGCCAGCCCTCAGATGAAAGATTTGCCGACGTTGAGACGTGGAAAGTTGGACACAATGGCCGCAGATCACAACATCATACGGTCGGCACCACCGTGCCTCCGCGTACGCAGCACACTAAAGAAAACACAGTCCATTTCACCTTTCCAATTTCTCCTTCTTGTTTTTCCCCAAGCCCCCCCCCCCCTACCAACAGCATTGGGCCTCCGCACATGCATCGGGCCTCATATTGAGACCACATCCGTCCAAAAACACACCCATCCCCCAGAACGCACATGCAGCAGTGAGCGGGCAAATGCATGCACCTCCAATGCCGCAAGACTGCACACCTTCACCAGGAAGGCGACCAGGTTAAGCCGCCAGACAACCCGTCAACTTTTGCAACTTTTTTTCCCTAGCTCTCCAGGCTCGAGCGAGGGCAGACACCGCGTCATGACAAAGGAAAGCGGTGTAGCAGAAAACACGTCAGATGCAAAAGCAGCCCTCCGCACATGCATCACGCCTCATATCGAGACCACATCCATAAAAAAAAAAAAACACAACACCGCGACATTGCACAAACAATACACACCGCAAATCATGGCGAAAAAACTAAATAGCGGGGAAACCAACGACAGCAATGCGACGTAAATACGAGCGAAGAGCAAAGAGGGCATGCACGTGTTGACACAACAGCACCCCAGAAAGCAGACGTGCTGCAAAAGCAGAGCTCACAAAACCGTTAGGAAATCAGGTTTCCGGCAGCACCAGCCACGAAGATCAAGATCGTATGGCCAACACACGAAAGAAAAGAACCGGCTCAGTGCGCAGTGTCATGGTGAGGGCGACTAAGCTTTAGTAGTATGTTGTTGATGAGGAAAGCTGAATGACAACAAGCAGAAAAGAGGGGAAGCACTGACTTCATGGGCGTCGATTACCTGAAGTTGAAGATAACACACATGTCAGAACAAGTGAAAGAGAACACAAGAAGAGAAGCAAATCACACAGGATGGTGAAGCCTATGCCACCTTCAAAGAGAGGAGCAAGAAGTGTGTTGGATATAGTAGGGAAAAGTGCTCTTCATGTGCACTTTGCCGGTCAGTGCACTATGGATTGTGATTCACATAATAGGAAGAGCTAACGCAATAAAGGTGCGTTTTGCATTCTTTTTCAAGATACAAGAAGGAAACAAACATACTGGACACAATTCTTCACCAGAACAAAGGTCCATGGGGGATTGATATCATACCAGATTCAGCAGAATATTCAGTGTCTCAGTCGAAATGCTCAGAGAGATAAATGCATGCTCGAACCAGGTCACCAGCTGTTCCTGAGATGGAGGCTTCATCTCTGTCCAGCAGCTCACGAAAGCAGCAGAGAACAGCTCCTTAGCCACACTGGGCTGTGAACACGAAAATCGATTCATGCACGTTAGACGTTTGCCAACCAAGAATGATCCACCCACAACTGAGGTATGCAAATGCCTGCACACAACTTACAGCCTGCAGGGTGACGATCCCTATTGAACCACGACGCCATGCTGCACAGAGACTAGAGATATCTTTATGCATGTTCTCCTAACATCAGCAGCAGTAGGGCCTGCGATAGAAGGACTTTCAAGCAACCCAAAAACAGATGATGGATGAAGTTTCCTAGCACAAATTCAACCAGCGCTGCCTTCCGAATGGTTAAACAATTTGAGACCGAATCACCGAGAACAAAAAGTCTGAGAATTTTGTCCACAGATGAGGCATTCAATGTAGTCCCCAACATGCCAATAAGGCTTGGGAAACAGAAACTGAAACTGAATATTCAAGCAAAACTAATTAAAAAAAATTATACTTGAGAAAAAATAATGTGTAGCTAGGTGTGCCTTTTGGTTCTCTCGTCAGCATCTTGACACAATTTCAGCACACCCGGCATTTCATTATTTCTTAATCATCATAGGAGTGCACATAGCTGGGCAGAGGGTGACCAGAATGAACACCCAACATCCATGCATCAGGATTGCTACATCGTAGAGAAATTCTAAGGAGCTCACTGAGCCTGGTTTTGGGAGTTCCTTTTCGGCTGGGATTGGGTCATAGGTGAATAGTTAAGATGATGTATGGTTCTACTACTTAGCTGTTCTCTCTTTCAGGGGTGGGTTCTCTTTTTTGCTTTTGGGGGAAGGGAATTTCCCACGGCCCAGCCCAAATCACGGCACACCAGCCTGAGATCCTCACCAATCTCTGTGGTCTGACTGGAACTAATATCTGTCTTCACATTCTCCACCGCTCGTTTTATACACCATCGGACTTCCTTGCAATCGCCCTTCAGCTTGAAGCTGATCTCCCCTGCCTGCAGCCAGAGAATTGTAATTATGCTAGGGAAAGGGGCTTTACCATTGCTAACCAACCAAAGTGGCAATGGAGGACCGCCAACTTGAACTACATGATGCTCGAGCAGGTGAGTGGTTTAATCCTCCATCCCACATCTCTGCCTGCCTTGTGCATGGACCTGGCCATTACCCGGCCGTTGTACATACCTCTGACCACTGGGAGTTGTGGGACAACGGGTCCATGCCATGACTGATGTTACTGATTTCGTACATAATGATGCTGTTTTCTTGCCACACCAAACTGTCTGCAATCTCTTTTATGTCTAAGATCATTCCTCTGGCCCCGCGCTGCAGCAGGACAATGTACCAACACTCTGCGACCTTCTCCTTCGCACAGCTACAGACAATGTTACACTCGGCTGTACCCGCCATTGTCTCTGTCACAATCACTACAATGACATGGTTTCTGCATCCATGTGTGTAGAGGACTGTCCCTCCATTCCTGACTGCAGACACCCTCCACATCCGGACAGTATATGTCCACATTGCGTCCATGGGCGCTATACTGAATGCATGGTCTTTTGTGGTGAGCGTTCTTCTTCATTTTGGCCTGCAATCGACATGCCATTTGTCGGGATTGTATGGTGGGCATGCTCGATGCCAGCCATTGTGGCAATGGTGGTGCTGAGAATACTCAGCCAGGTCTTCCATGTGCCCATCCACCTCATCCTTACAATGTGTGTCCTCTCTGTCGTCAGGGACAGACTCATTCTTGAGCCTTTTCTTATCCTCTACTTTGCCGTCAGCTTCGCTCCACACTCCGTACTCTCCCTTATGTTCCCTTTTTCGTTCTTTTTTCTCTCCTCTTCATCTCCCCTGCTCAACTTCATCAACGTGGCCGGCCTTGTACCTGAGAGGCACGGTGAAGGGAGAATTAAAGAAAAATGAATGGTTTCAGTGTGCCCCTCATCTTTGTCTTGTTTTTTTTATCATCACCGTTTGTTTTGCAAAGTGCGCTCTTTTTGTTCATAGTTAAAACAATTTCGCATCAGCACCCAGTCACTGGAATCCATCAAATGGCTTATACTGCACATGGCACACGACGGTTAAAAGCCTGCAACGGCTTATACTGCAGGGCTGTAAACCTGGTCCCACCGGGGGGTCCACCCCCAACCGGAACCGGGCCGGTGGGACCGGCCGGTCCACCGGGCCGGTTGCCCTCGGTTGACAATAGCACATAGGTGAGTACTGGCCGAATCGAACTTTTTTCCGGCCAGGAGGACCCCACGCGGTTTGTGGGGGCCTCCTGGCCCTAAAAAAAATTGAGATGGGTCAAGTAGAGCAGCTTCCAAGTTTCGAAAAGGGCTGCCTCTCTGGACCGCTGATCTCGAAAGATCGGCGGCCCAGATGAGGCCTCCCTTTTCGAAACTTGGAGAAGCTTCCGTTCCCTCCCGCCTACGACTTCCTGCCTCCCACCGACTCACCAGCCGTCCCGTCGACAAGCCAATGCCCCCGCTGTCGTCGCCCGTCGCCGTCGTCATCGTCACCGTCGTGCAGCAAAGCCAGCCCCCCGGCCGGCCTGCGCGCCACAGGTACGTTTTCTTCTTCTTTTTCTTCTTCTGCTTCTTATAGGCGTGCGAGTAGACCGGCGGTGCACACACACACACACACAGAGAGAGAGAGAGAGAGAGAGAGAGAGAGAGAGAGAGAGAGAGAGAGAGAGAGAGAGAGAGAGAGAGTAGGCGCGCTGTGGTCCCTGCTACGGAAGTTGCCTCCGCTGCGGTCCCTGCTACGGAAGTTGCCTCTGCTGCGGTTCCTACTACAACAGTTGTCTCTGCTGCGGTTCCACTTTTCACCACTTCCTCTGCTTCTATACCTCGAATTTCTCATGCTATGGTTTTTACTGGTATAGCTTCCTGTACCCCAACCCGACACTCGCGTCCTGTGTTCCGACATCCTGCCGAATCCAGCCCCCTTTCATCCCTTTCTGTGCTTGGCTGCAGACGGCTGCGCTCCTCCTCGCCACCCCCATCTCCTCCACGGTCTCGTTTGAGAACCGATTCTCCGGTTTCTATTCTTCCCACTGTTCCGCCTTCATTGCCAGTGACATCTTCTGTTAGAAACATCGCCACTCCTCTTATTGTGTATCATCGTCGACGACATGCACAACATCGCCACTTGGCCAGGGATCAGCGGCCTGCTTCTGTGTCTACCCCAATTCTCTYTGTGCCTCCTMCACGGGTTGTTGCGGTTCCGTTGTCCCAAACGGATACATCCGCTCCTATGCCTCCTGCAGACAGTCCAGCTGCTTGCACACAGTCACAGCACCATGTCTTATGCCCTTCCATGTTCGTTTGTCCCCCAGCTGTGCAACAGGATATGGTCCCTGCCCAGAGTACACTCCCAACAACAGTCCCTACTCACGATGTGGCCCCGAACGCTGAGGGCCTGGGACATGATCAGCTCGGACTGCATTTAACCCCGCAAGGCATAGACCACACGGG